AATATTATATTAACTTAAACCCATTATTACTGGAACGAACGTAGTTTCAGACATTTGAAAGGTAATTTTTGAATATATTATGATGTTAGGGCATTCGTAAAAACAGGAAATCAAAATAATTTGATAAATTATCGCTTTAGTAATTTAATTTATGTAGAGTTAGTATTTTTTTCATTTATTAATTACAGTCTATCAAAGTCCTAGCCTGAACATAGGCTTCCCCATAGATTGCCTCATAAGGGGTATATTTGCCATAGTTGCCACGCTAGGCAGGTTTGCAACAACATTTTTTATTTCGTAGTTGTTATTAGGAAGACGCTGTTGCCCATCTCCTGGTGTGTTTTCCTCTGTGGCCTCTTATGACATCCACGTCACGATACACGTGACTATTTCATACTGAATATTCTTACACCGCCACTACACGGTTAATAGTTAGTCCTTGTTGGTAATATTTTCTCTAACTAGTGTAATCTAAGTACATTTATTTCTTTTTCTTGCTTAATAATTCATCATTCGCCCTACCACAAGTCCACTTGTGAACATAGACCCAAAAGACCCCAAAGATTGATAAAGAACGGTCTTGAACTGTTTGCATCAATTGATTACGTAAGCATAAGATTGTCTTTCCATATAGTGAGACTCGCTTAACACTGTGCTTGCCAGACCACTCATGATCGCTAGTTTGAACGCAAAATTATACGCGAGTATGTGCCACACCCTTGTGATACCGTATCTGATACGTCCCGTTCCGCACAAAACCTCGTACCTGTTTGATACACCTCTTATGTGGTTCACACATACGGAACACGAACAGAACATTGTTCAAATTAGCATATGAATCAATATTTATGAAAGCTTTACGATGATTACTAGTTTTTTTTTAATGATTTTCATTTCAGTAATGAGGGCTAATAATCTTCCGCTCACCAGATGTCGCTAGTTGACACTGATGTGAAGTGAGAAGAACTCGGATACTGACTCGGATTAGTCGCTCGACCGATCCGCGTTCTTTATGAAGACGAGCGGCTGTGTTGGTAAACAAATTAGACACAACACGACCGCTATTATTAAAATTTGTAAGTTTAAAAATAAATAAATAGTAATAATGTGATTAAAATTACTTATATATGAAAGGTAACGCCAGTTACTCTCTTATTGCAGCAAAAACTGAACAATTCGGCATATTGGTTTGCCGTCGATTCAGCCACGCAACTGGCTTTCAATTATACTGGACTAAAACTGGCGCAATTGTTCAATTTTCTGGGACTTTCAGTTTATTATTTGTTCCCAAATGTGGAAAAAGAGCTCCGGGGAAAGAAATTTACAGATGACGAAGATGTGAAGTTGGCAATTTCTGCCTATTTTTAGGGCCTTGACAAAACATTTTTTTCGAAGGGTTAAGTAAGTAATTTGAACGGTCTGAGAAGTGTTTTGGGGTTAATAGAGAATATATAGAAAAGGAAAAATAATTTCATGTTTGATTTTCTGACACAATCCTCTCCCCCTCTCATTCATTTCGCGAACTTTTTGACCTTCTCTTGTATGTTTCACATTGCGTGGTGGAGAAAATAAACGTAATTAATACAAATATTTTAATAAACATGTTCTAAAACAAAAGTTTTTCTTTTATTTAGCGAGATAAGTATTTCGATTTTTCCATATTAATTAGGTATTTCTGAAGCCTTAATGGTAGCTAGAGCGGCTACGTCCTAATTTCGATTCTTGGGTCGAGTAAAGTTTTTAGATTTTTCTAAATTCTCAGTTACAGCCACAAATGTATTGGCATAGATTCTGCCGTCACAAATAAGTACAGGCAAACGGGGTGTATTACATGACTATGGAGATCTGCCTAATCTTTTTGAGTAAACAATCGTGATGTTATGTATGTATGTAGCCCTCCTCCTCCCTAGAAATCATTTTGACTACATACTTAAGAGAATGAAATGAAACGTTTAAAGAAATCCTATTTATTTTTACAAACAAGCGTTAAGTTATTACTGCCATGGTGCTAATCATTAGAACCAAGTCACATTAGAATATAATGTGACTTAATGGTTGAACAATTGCAAAGACGTATTATAACCTCAAAATCTGAAAGTATTTTGGATTTTTACGACTCTTAAAAGTGTTCGTGATTTTAATTTAGTTTTCATCGATTAGGTGCATAATTTAAAACGTGAAAAGTAAATTTGCATCTTTGTTGGTTCTTAGGCTAACAGTGTATGGGCGCCGAACAATGTCATTTGTAGTGTCCTCTTATAAATAGTGATATCGCATCTAACAAGCACCACTGTATTCAATTCAAAACTTTGCATATTTTATTTAATAACTGATTCAGAAAGAAGACTTTGCCTGACAGAATACTTGACAAAATATAACGACAAAAACGTATATTGAATGTTACGGTCAGTCATTGAATGAACAAGTTACCGTCGCATTTTAATATAAGTCAGTTTCCCCTACTAGATTGTCAGCAAAAGGCAGCAGTGTTTGTATCATTTTGAGTTACGCCATCGTAAATTGTTTCATATAGACAAATAAATAAAACGTATGCGATCAATATATAGAGTTCACTTATTTCAAACAAGACTTTTTACTACTAAATAGGCATTATATCTTAGCCCTCAGAGGTGAAAACGCAATTAATCGAGGATAGATGTAAATGTCTGTGGGCCACAGCAACCACTTACCAACCATCGGGTGGACTTTTCATAATTTCTTGCCTTCATTCTATAAAAAAAAATACCTTTTTTTCAATCAAGCAATGTAAAATATTATAATCTTAATGTTGTACCAACATTAACATCAATGAAAGTTGTTATCTCCGGGCATCAAATTATGGAGCACTATCGACGTATGATCAAATGGCTGCAAATAATACGAAATGATCATTGGTTCTTAATACATCTGAAAGAATTTTACAGAAATTTAAATCAAGAATTTTAAACCAACCATAATCTGCTGCACCTAGTCATAACCGACTAAAGTGTAATAGCCGGATCAATTAAATAAAATTATTCGCCTCTCTAATATAACATATTGCTACGCAAACACAGACGGACGAGTAGTTAAAATTAAATTTATTGAACAAGAAAATACTTAAGATTATTTTGTTTTGCCATTGTATAAGTTTTGGTTTTGTCGGTATATATATAAATGGATTTTCGTTTAGTATTGTTCTTTTTCGGGTGATGAAATGAATGAAAATATTAAGTTAAGTTACATTTCTTCAGAGGCTAAACAAAATACGGTATCAACATCAATGGTGAATACATGACTCACATCCGACATGTCGACGATATAGCTGGAGGATTTAAGCACTGTGCCTAATGCACTATATAGTTTCTCCCAATGGATAGGTATTTAAATTAGTCGTAGCATGGACAAGACAAAGGTTATATGATCTGTACGTAACGTCTGTGACACGCCTATGCCGGTGGTTGTTGGGACCAGCTCGCAATAGCTGACGAGCATTTTGTTCACCCAGGAGAAATTTTCCGACTATATCTGGTAGGTCCATGCCATTTTGTTGTTGTTGCATGTACGAAAGGGTCGGCTCAACCGGTGATGTATCACGCATACAAAATATCAGCTTAAAGTAACAAATTAGTTTAAAGTAAAACAAAAAAGTAAAACAATTATCTACTGCCTCCTTGGTATAGTGGTAGTAAAAGCGATTGCTAATCGTGAGCTCCTGGGTTAACATCCCGGGTCGGGCCAAAATCAATTATCGGGTTTTTCTTTCTAAAAAATTTTAGAAGCAGCGTGGAGTCAGGAAGTTGGCGGTGTTTCTTCACCCCCGTGCCTCGAAAAACACGTGAAGCTGTAGGTACTGCACCTGACCTCTCTTCGGTCGTATTGGATTACCAGATGTGACATCAGACTATGAGAGTGAGGGAATAGATTGTGAATCTATGCTTGCGCGTACACTTGGGCACTATAATCCTGTCCTGCGTAGATGGCTAGTTGAGAATGGCCGCTGTGACCGAAATTAGGTCTAGTGGAAATTATTATTATAATCGTGAGTGTAGAGAACCGTAAACATTTTTTACTGGAAACGTGGTATTCCATCTTAGTCTTTTTGGGTGACAACGTATCAGCATTTAAATTGTCTGACTGTGTGCTCGTTTGTCATTCTTATTCTATAATAAAAGGTGAGTCCAAAGTCGACCAAGAAGTTAACGGAAGGATAAGTAACGGTAAGACGGATTAAACTTGGCTGGACAGCGTTTGGAAGATCATGCCATGTCTTAGCGTCACAAGAAGACAAGCGTGAAAACAAAAGTATAGAGGTGGTTGAAAGGGCTATATTCGGAGTTTCCCAGCGTGATAGTGAGTGCAGTAGAACTAGGGTAACCGATATAGCACAATGCATCCGTAAGCTGAATGGGAAATGGACTGGCCATATAGTTCGAATAATTTGCAACCGAATAAAGGCCTTGCTAAATAAAGCCTTGTAGTAGTTTGGTAAGCGAAGTGTAATGCGGCTTCTAGCTAGATGGAGTTACGACCTGCTTAGATATGTAGAAAGCCGATGGATGCATGTGACTTTGGACTATGATTTGTAGCAGTTCCTTAGTGGAGTGGGTGTTTGGTAGTGGATTTGTGATTGGCTGTAGTAATGATGATGATAATTTTTAGATAAATGTTTTATTGATGTTACATATAAATTTCAAGATACGCAAGAAAACGAGAGTTTCATCGTCACTGGCACTAATGAAATTGTTAATTGTAATATCAAGAGTGCTGGTTTACTACGTACCGACGGTAAAAAAACATCGCATGGCAACCGGTAGACAAATAAAAAATGTTAAAATATCTATAGTATAGTATAAAAACACGCCATTAGGGTATCGGGGCGTCCTGCCCTAAATTAATGAGAGGCCTGTTTCATGCAGTGCAGTCATATGCAGTCTGTTTATTTATTTACTTCCCAGAAAAATGAAATTACAGACTTTAAACGTATATAGGAATTGCTAAAATTATTACATGGTTCTTACCTTAAATGATAATCTATCGCATCTGCAATTGGACTTTCTAACAAATCTGATTGGCCAAAGTTTCTATATAAAACTCCTACAAGGGTCATTCCTGCCATGGCACTGATTGTCGTATATCTCTCCAGAGTATGTCCAAATATATATGCCACTGTAACTATACCAGCCATATTAAATATAGCAGCTCCTGGTAAAACTGCGTCTTGAAATATAAACCATGATGCGCCCCACAGCGTAACCCCTTAAAATAGCAAAAAGTATACACATTAAAGGAAAATGTTCAAAGTTGAATAAATAAGGGAAAGTTGAATACGTCCGAGCTAAATCACTTGTGTTTTATATATCAAAATTAATAAGGAATTTTGTGACAAATATAAAATTGGGTGAAAGGAAAATTGCGCAAACTTTTCCCCTAAAATTCAAATTTACATTCACGGGGTACACCCTTCTAACTAACGGACGAAACTTTGACGATCGATTGATGACAGGAAATTTATCTAAAATCTGTCAATTTAAATCTCATAAGACCGGAGATATACAGCAGCAACATCTATGTGAGGAAAATGCGTCAGTCGATCCTGGTGGACGTTAAAAATCTTCTAAGTAATTCTTTCTAGCTGGCGCGTTCTTGTAAATATATATCCCGCTATGGAATTTAAAAGGCTGTTGGTGTTATTAAAGGAAGCTTATTTTAATTTCTTTTATTTTGGATAAAACTGAGGTACATTCTTCATATTTTTTTATAGGAGAGGAGTCAAACGAGCATATGGCTCACCTGATGGTAAGTGACTACCGCCATCCATGCCAGTCTTTTAGAAAGGAGTAAACTTTTTTATTGAATGTCCCTAAGTCGTATTAGTTCGGAAAAATCGCCGGTAGTAAACTATTCCACAGAGAAGACGTACACGGAAAAAAACTCCTAGTAAAACGTACATGGTGTGGATGGTATCAGGAGATTTGCCACGATGTGCGTTCATGAAATTTGACGGCTGGGATTAATCCGAACAATTCATCAGAGCACATCCCGTAGTAGATGCGAAAGTAAAGTGGAAAGGGTCTCTTCGCAGCGCCAGTGAATCGAGCCGATCGGAAAGGACTTGGTCAAGGCATTGGGGAGCCCCAGCCCAAAGATGGGAACAGTATTCCATGCGAGGTCGAACTTGCGTCTTGTAAAGTTGCAGGTGGTATGCCGTCATGAAATAATCTCCCGCTTTGCTTAGCACGCTAAGCTTTTTAGAGGCCAGTTTGGCCTTCTCTTCCCACGTGACCACGAAACTGCACGTCACTCAATATTTTGACGCCAAGGATTCCGATACTGGTTGAGGCAACAAGGGGCGTGCCTTGAAGCTGAGGAGTTACGAAAAAAGGGTTCTTTTTAGCGGTAAACACGCAAACTTGTGGCTTGTGAGGATTAAACTGGACTAGATATAGTCACCCCCAATCCGAGACTTTGTTCAGTCGAGTACTTTACTACTGTACTTTGTACGTATGTATACTTATAGTAAGAAAGAAAAAGGTTAATATCGCACTGCATTAAATTACGATCACTGTTATCAATTAGCAGGACGTTCTGTAATTGTTACTGTTGGCAAGCAGATGGCAATTGCAGTTCGCAAAGCCCAAGAGATGAAAACAATCAAATTTTACGATTTATTTTGGATAGAACATTATAAGTGACATTCTTACCGCATAAAATTACGCCAGAGTATTGTTTTAATTCAGATTTCGAGGGCAAAACCTCAAATAACTTTAACGAAAATATATTCCTTTTGGTTTCATGTAAAGGTTTTCTGTAAAACACAATAAGATTAATTTGAGATAACAAAAAGGAAAATATAAGTGGTAAGTTATATCGTCAATCGAGACATATAAAAACGACAATGTCGATAGCTATTACTTGTTAATACACGTCCTATGACGAACACCAAAACAATTATCATGCATTAGTCAAATGATAATAATATTTTTATGGCCGAGTCGTTATGTTAAACAGATACCCATTAAAGTAATAATAGAATTAGTAATCAATACTTTATGTATTTACTTAAGTATCTAAATTAATAATGTAATGTAAGAAAAATACTCACTCACGTTTTATTGCGATCAAATTCTGTACAGGCGCTTTTTATTTTTTCATTGTTTTCGGTGTTTTCTGCAATATCAGATGTGATATTATGTTAGATTATAATTCACACTTGAAAAATAAACGCAAAAACCTATATGCATTGAGTAAATTTTATTTTTAAAGAATTTCACCGAAAAAAAAAGAAAACATTAATTACTGCACTATCTGAATTATTTTTTAAATTTCTTTAATAATAAAAGTATATTCCACTATATGATGATAATGAAGTGCAATAATTGTATACGGATTTTATGAGTGATACTGTTGTTCTATTTTATTTTTCTTATACTGAGGTTATATTTTGATAAACATCTCTTTTTTAAATTTTTTAAATTTATTTGGAAATGTTAAATTTCTTATGTAGCAATTTATTAAAAATTACTTAAATATAAACTTACCGTTTTCATCACTAACTGTCATATTTGGAATTCCTAGTATTTATTACACTAAAGACTTACAGATTTGTACCTTAAAACATTTATTTGGTTAATTGGTTTAAATGTCTAATAACTGAAAAGCACTACTTGTAATTATCTTGTAAACACAACGGACGCTTTAACTCAAGCTAATAAAACCCGTGCGATCTCGTTTACTATTCTTCTTATAATAAAAATTGTCGCATGCGCACTCCATTCAATTGCAGTCATAGAAAAATAATTATTGTATTTCATGTCACTGTAACAAGTAAAACATAGCATCACGAGTAAGAATAGTACTGTTAATACAAAGTATTATGATTAGTTCATAAGTATCTACTCTTGGTCATGGACTGCACCTAGTTTGAAAGCGTTTGACACAGCTGTCAAGCTTGGCAAGCAGATCGGAGTTTACAGTAGTAACTTCCTGGGTTATTCTGCCAATTGTTAGAGATCATACGCTTTCAATTGACAGTCTTATACGAATTTTTAGACACATGACACATTTTTTTTTTGTATAAATGTATATATAAACGATTATTATTTTGATTGTTCCATAATATAATTTGAGAATCGTTATTAACCTTATGATAAGCAAACTCTAGATTAATTGAGTTGCTACTTCTAGAATATTAATTATAGATAAGTTTGTATATTTGTTAAGGATATAATTTTGGTTGGCTCCTTATTTAAATACTAGCTTTTTACTCGCGAATTCGCTCGCGTGGTCTTCAAGTTAGAAACATCATTAATGATAGATCGCCAGGAGTCCCGCTACCAGGACTTGTAGTCCTTCCGGAAAGACGCAACTTTATTCGATCATAGTTCCTTATTAATATATAGCACAAAAGTCAAATTTAAATGAAAAAAATAGAGTATTTCTTTCTCTTTTACCTTTTGGCGATAATTATAATCAGTACGAGATTTTTGGTGTCATAGTCAGAGTTTTGAAGAACAATAAAGTTCGTGTGCGATGGGACTTTGATGGACAATGTTCAATTATATCTGTTGATAATATAAACCCTGTAAATGACGATATCGGTAAGTCAGCTTTGTAATTTATTAAATAAAACAAATTTTACATGCATGCATTTTATGTGCGGCTGCGGTATAAAAACCTAAGTCAGCTTTCAAAGATATTTGTTTTGTTATATCTACACTAATATTAGGAAGAGGAAATATTCAATTGTTTGTTAAAACATTTATTTTATAAGTCTTTGGATTACACAAAAAGCCATACATGTTTTTAGTATATAGCCTCGATTACTCCTGGCATTGCCCTCCACCTCTTCGCAAAGTTTCATTACAATCCGTTCAGCCACTCCGAAGATTAGTCCGGACAGAGAGACACACAAAAATTTAAAAATCGTTATTATGTATTCAGCATGCAGTTATGCCTCTTAGCTTAGTAGAAGAGAAGTCAGTTATTTTAATATTATAGACATACATTATTACTTATCCGAAACATAGCAAATAATATTACTTAAAATATGTACAACACAAACAAATCAAATTAAAACATAAATACTTCTAATTAGCATAATGAATAAATTAAAGGAAAAAAGTGTTATACAAAATTATACGGTATGTAAAGCTTAATTTAAGTAAAAAATACTAGCTAAATCGCCGCCACCCGTTGATAGTGTGTCCAAAAGACTAGCTGAGTTGCCTCGCTGTATTCCGAGGCTGATCCGCTGACCAAAATATCTGCCAGCTTTTGGGTCACCAGAGACATTGACAAGGCGTGATGAGATATCTCTGTACAAACGCCTTGCTTCAGGACCCCACGGCCCCAGTGTTTTTACACCAAACGGCACACACATGTATCCCTCTCCGAGGGCTGCATATTTGCGCCGCTTGTTAGACTCGGCAACAGCAGCAGCCGCGCCTGTCTTCTGTGCAGTCGCCGCGAGATGTAATACATCCCATACTAAGGAGCGCCCATTTTTCCATGGAATAAGCGTCATTCCATCAGGCCTCTTGCCATTGTCCCGCAATATACCGCTTGGCTCTAAAATTGCAGGTACGTTGGCACTGGTTAAGGCCCGTTTAATGACGTCATTAATGGCTGCATGGCGCAAATTTGCAAATTTCATAAAAGCAGTTCTATAATGATGTATACTACACATGTAATAAAACAAATTTTAATAAATCACGTTACATTTTAACTTTTATTTAAGCGGGTTGTACAAAACACATCTTTGGAAGAAAGTTTCATTAAAATTTGGGTACAAAAACATATTGCTGACGTGAAGCAACGACGCTCCAAAAAGTCTGAAGTATGTCAACATGTTCAGTATAGTCCCAACCTCAATATGGTATCAGATCTGATAGACAACAAATCCTAGCAATAGAACACCTATTTCTACCAAGGGTGATTCGCATGGCTACTGAAATTAAAAAAAATCCTAACTTCAATAGAGGAGATGTCTGGGTGTTACCATCTACTTGGGATCCCATAATTAATAAAATTAAATCCAAACCCAAGCATACGTAGATCGGAACAAACATTATTAGTTAAAAGTGGATTGCAGTCTTCGTAAACTATGACATCAGGACATTAAATAACTCAGCCCCCGTCTCCATGGGTTCTTTGAAGTGCCCGAAATGTCGGAATTAAAAAAAGTTAAAATTAAACATGATAAAACCCTTAAGATTACTTTTATTGCAAATGAAGTTCTATTCGCAGTGAACGTGGGTAGAACTACACTCATGATCGGAAGCAGAAAAATGTTCGCTTTGTTGTGGCAGCGAAAGAGAATCCGCAAGAATCAGCGATAGAGAAAAACAAACAGGAGATGGGCAACATCATCTTCCTGACAACAGTTCAAAATAATAAAGGCTGTGGTTGCCAACCCGCCTGCCAAGCGTTGCAACTATAGCAAATATCCAGCCTATTTGAAAATTTATGGGGGAGGCCTATGTTCACTTCAGTGTACTTTTAATAGGTTGTAATGATAACGATTATGAGTTCTATTCTTTCGAATCTTTGCTAAAAAATATATTAACGGTAGGTAGTGTGAAAACAAAAAAGTAACATCTCCGAAAATGTGATTGAAAAACAGCATAATTGCTCCATTAAAACTAAAAAAGTAGCAGCCTACCTACATGTTACTACTGGGCTCAGGCCACAGAGCTTTTGGCTAAAAAAGTGCCAACGCGTTTTCTTTCACCGCCGAGAACCTGGTAAATTTGACACTTCAAATGACAATTAACTTATATGTACAAATATATATTAATGCTTATGTACGTTTGGATCAGTTTGATTACCGTCTTTGATAAGTAAAATAAAATAAACCTTCGCTTAAGTAAAATCTGCTATCTTTGATATTTAAAGTGTTTTTCGCAACAGCCTGTTCATTTACATATCTAATGTGAGCTATGAAACCAGGACTGTCCCAAAAATCTTGATTTGTCTGATGATATGAAAACTCAAAAATACAAAAATTTTAAACGACAAACTGATTTATGTCTCATTAAAGGTATAAAAATTAGAGTAGCAGCTTAGATACGTCTTACTACTGTACATAGGGTTCCTCATTACCTATAGTATGCCGCAATCCTTCAATGCGTTTTAAGGGTTTTCATATTTCCACTACTTTTTTAACTACGCAGACATTTAGGTTTGCCCACGAAGTTATTCTTCATAACTTTAGCGCATACGTAGAAAGTCAGCACGTAAAATTTCGCATAACAGATTCATTTGTCATCAAAGAACTCTTACTCGTTTTACTCCCTTGCCGTGATGAAATCTCACGGCGAGCTACACGGCTTTCGTATTTGTTTAAATAAAATTCATAAAAACTGACACAAAGCTTTTGTACGATAGTTGACCATATCTACTTAGTAATTAGAAACCCAACGATGCCACGAACTATTCCATCAAATAGAGGTAAAACCACACGGTGCACTTAATTTTCAATTATTTACATCAGATAACGTGATAACATATGAAATTGGTAAAATGAAACCTATGCCAACAGACACCCGATATATTCAGCTAAAGAGCTTCTCTTTTAATCTCAGTTTTGTGTACACAGTACTGCTGGATACTGTGCACACAAAACACGTATTGTGTATAAAAGTGTTGCTAGCCATTTTGCCAAACGTGGAAATTGTGGTAAATCATCCCGATAATGGCCACCGATCTAGATATTTTTAAGTGTGACAATTTTCGATGCTGCGCGAATAATTGTACAGTAGCATTCTAAAATTTAATTTTATCAGTTACATACTTATCATAAGTTTATTTAGCAGAAAGTAGAGGGTAATTAATAGAATCAGGTTTTACTTTGCGGGAGTCCATTATATTAAAGTTGGTAAAAAATTACCTCGAGTACATCCGCTCGATAAAATAAAACGATGTGTCTTACCTAGTTTACGCAATTGAGGGAGGGTGGAAGATGTTCTTTAAACTAGATAAGACACATCATTTTATTTTATCGAGCGGATGTACGCGAAGTAATTTTTACCAACTTTAATTAAAAATAGAGGGTGCTATATAGCATTAATACTAAGAAAACTGTACTATCTAGTAATATCAGCTATAGAAGGTTGGGGTGCGACTGGCTTAAGAGCCACCCCGAAGCTGCGAACATTTATTTATTATATAAATAAGGTCTAAAGTGATGTTGATTCTGTTCAAAATCTGTTTCAGTTAAAAAACACGCTATCAGTGCCGCTAGTGGTGAAAAACTATATGACGATATGACCATATTATCATGAAATAACTATGTTGTGTTTAGTTACTAATGTCGTTAAATGATCTCTATTCGTTGATTTGGCTAAGGTATATTATGACATGGTCATCAAACAGTGATAAATATCATAAAATGACCTCATTTCACGAAATAATGATTTAATGAGAATTTTGCAAAAATTGCAGGCAGACCAGTTTTAATTAGTTTACATACAGATATAGTACAAAACGTATGAAAATTGACATGTTTTTTATTTCCAAAAAATATCAATTTTCATACGTTTTATAGGCTTTTTTATTTAATG